AAGTCCTCCTCATTGCTTTCCCCTTGACAGCCCTGAATGAATGGATCTCTTCCAGAGTTTGCTTGTCTCCATTAGTAATATGAATAATTTGTTGCTTCCTGTGTAAAAAAAAAAAAAAAAATTAACCCCCCCAAACAATGTAGACAAAGCAAGAATTAAGCTACTACTTCCGGCAAGTCTATTGTCTTTTGGATCCTGTATGCAGGTGCAGATTGTATGCGGATTTATTTATTAAGCATGCAAGAAGTCAAGAACGAAAACATATGCCTGATATTATCAAAGTATTTTTGCCATAACAATAATGGGATTAGCCTTTGGAATCCCTGTATATATTTTAGACAGTTTGCTTTAAGTTGAGTCAATAAGTAAAATCATATACAATATAATGTCTTTGTCCCATACCAAATATTATGGATCCAGTTTGCACTGAACTAAAAGCTGGCTTCTGGTGGTGTAAGACATAGGCTTTAAAAACTGTTAGAGGAAATGTACGGTAATGAATTCTGCACAAATTCATAAATGTTTACTCATCTTTTAAATAACATCTTAAAATATACAAAATTCTGTAAATGCCTACTTTGGGGCATTTACACAACTGACATAATATGTCTTAAAATCCTGATGAGATCCTCACAGAGATAACAGTGTTTGATCCTCAGCTGCTCTAGCTAGTCATAAAATGCGAGGTGATGTTAAGATGGTTCCTTTTGTTGTGGATCCACACTCTAAATTTTTAGATTGCTTCGTTATTAACTATCATCATGTATACATTACGCATGTGAATTATTATTATACAAACTCATACTATGGGGAGGTTAGGTTATCTAGAATGTGGAAGAACTCTGGTAGATGTTGATGCTGAAATCAATGTGAAATGAAGGTACAGTGAACTGCCTCAGTAGAATGAAGTCAATATTCAATAGTTATGAGACAATGACAACCAGGCCTTGTATTTCACAAACCTGTTATGAAGTCATCCCCATGTTTTAAAAGCACACATGATAAGATCTTTAGTATATGCCATAAGGGTCACAACTCCTAGTGTGATTGAGCTGCATGGCTTTTATCCATATCTCTTTTCCTGCAAAGAGAATAGCAGCAATGATGTCCACAGGGAGAGGGTCAAAATCGGAATGATGATGGATGGATGCAAGTTCTACCCCTTTTGAAAGTGCATCGTCAACACGGACGGAGCTTGTGTCATGATGCTCCTTCCACTATCTGGCTAATTTTGATCAACCATCTTAGCAAATGCTGTTGAAGAGCAGCATAAGGAAGGTTTTTAGTAGAAGCAATAATAGATCTATGCCCGGTGTGCACATCTTCCATTTCAAATGGCAACTTCTGTACACTGCACTTTATTTTATATTACTTTCAGCAGGACAACAACTTTTCTAAATGAGAACTATGGATACCAGTTAACTAAAACTAGGAATTTCTCAGTCTCATTGGATTACCTGGACTGGATGCTCTGTTAGGTTTGCATCAGTTTCCTGATAATGGCATCTAGGTGACATTTTTAAAAACATGCTTTTGTCCTAGGAAGGCTTTATAAAAAATTCATCTTTAGGTTTACCCCAAACAAGAAGTATTCTGATTGTGTTATGAGTTACTAATAGTTAGTAATGCAGAAATATTTGGGGATGTGGAAAGTTACTAAAAAAGCATGATGCTTTAAAAATAGAATTTTAGCTTTGGACTCTCATTGGAGTCACCAGGCCTATGATGTAGGAGAGGAATAAGGAATGTACTTTTTTTGTGTGTAAGAAGAAAGAACTAGTTTTATGTTCTAAATATAAGAAATATCTGAAGCAAGCCAGAAGACCATGTAAACATCCATTCCTGTTTATTCAACCAGAGTTTTGTTAGTTTTATATTCTCTTAACAATAGCAAACCCTGACAAATCTAGCCATCAGAAAATGATTTCAGCAGCAGGTGGGCCACAATTCAATTTTAAATAAGATGTATCATTTCAGCTGCCTTGGCCATCACAACATGGAGACCTGCAAATTGTTCTAGCTATCTCTATGCTATTGTAGGCATGAAGTCAGCATGAAACTATTCTACACCATGTGGCTTTTGCATTGCCAGAGGACCACTGAAATGTCTTCAGTGCAGACAGGTTGATGCAGAAGCACAAAATGGGTTGTCTGAAACGTTTTGATATTCTAACCTCAAGACAAAATTATATGGCTGGGTTGGTAGATACATTATGAGGTAGGATAAATGAGATCCCAAATCATCTTTAATGCGCTGCTGGGATCAAAACAGAAAGTTAATAATTCAGATAAATGCCCAAGAGGCTGGAAGGGTGGGGCACACAGTCAAACTTCATTTTGTTCATGATAGTGTATATTAAAATCTTTCAGTGAAAGCCATAGGGATACATTTGGGCCATTTTTCTTCTTTACATTGTATACATATTAATCCAAAATTATTCCAAGAACTTGACTGCACAAATAGAAAAGTTGTGAGAAAACTGCTCTTCTCTTCATCTGTTTAATAATATTAATACTACTAATAGCTATTCTAAACAGAATTATATTTAAATATGTCTTTAACTTAATATTACATTGCTAAGAATCTTTTTACAAAGAACAAGTTTATTTGTATCTCCATTAGAGTTCTCTTTGCAGATTAAACATATCACACAGCTTTAGGCCTGGTGATAATTATTACATTCTCAAAAACTTTACTGGAGTGAAAAGTGCATTAATCCACTTAGCTTCTTCTGGCCAATAATTTAAGATCTGATATGTACCCCTGCACTTCACACTGATCTTGTTTCAATTTCACAGTTAGCGGTCACTCATTTCATAGAATCATGAAAGGAACTTCTAAATCTTTGCATTAAATTCTGACAATTGTCCAGCATGGGATCACTGCCCTCAATGATAGGTATGGCTCATTTGATTGCCACTTCTTTCAGCACACTCAACATGAAAGTTACTTTGGCGCAATATGTGGGAAACTTTACTGGGTGACCTGCCATAAAAAGTTGTGAAGGTTGTGAAGGTCAGGTCTTGGTGTCCTCCAAACTTCTGTGGTAAACTGCCATGAGAACACAGAAATACTGTCTGCTGCAGACTCCTGTGCTGCTGCTGGCTGAGGTAAATTCTGCCCCAACTGTTGTGTTAGTTGCATTGTGGCATTTTGCAAGTTAGTTATTTGTAAATCCACCTGTTGTTGGTGTTGCAACAAAGCTGCAGCAAGGTACCCTGTAAACCAGTGTTTCTCAACCTTGGCCACTTTAAGATGTGTGGACTTGAACTTCCAGAATTCCCCAGCCAGCCATGTTGGCTGGGAAATCCTGGGAGCTGAAGTCCATACATCTTAAAGTAGCCATGGTTGAGAAACACTGCTGTAGGCAGTGGAGTGCCCTGAGGATTGGAGGCCATCTCCACTAGCAAAGGCGAGATCTTCAGCTTCTCTTGAAAAAGAGTTTGAGACTTGATGTCAGCCCCACTGGGTAGATGTGACCAGAAAATCGATTCCACCGGAAAACTTGTACAATACTTTATTGAGTCTTGCAAGTCTGATTGTGCTTTACCTCCCTCTTTATTATATATCAGTGAATCGGAAGCATTTGCCTAAGCCACTTCCGAATATTATATTGCTTCCCAGGACTTAAAGAATGTTTCAGCCATCTTTACCTAGGTAATGGTTCTTGCATATTTCTGTCAAGGTAATCTCCCTTACTTTCTAAAGCATAGCTATGGAAAAGTCTCACTTCCTAGTTCCTGCCAGATAACAACATTTGGACCTGAAGTTGGCCCACCATATCCATTCTAATGGAATGGGTAAAGTCCTCAGAGAGAGGTGGTTCCTCAAATAACCTGGCCCCATGCTATACAGGACTTTAATCATGTTAATCAGCACCCTGAATTGCACCTGGAAAGAAACTGGAATTCAGTGCTTATCACACAGCAGTGGTGTCATACGGATGAACCACAAACTGTGCACACCACTGCATTCTGGACCATTTGAAGATTCTAAGTCCGGTCTATGTGTTCAGTTTTGTATGAATCCAGCCACTGTGAGTTGTAAACCACAGTTTATGACTTGGTATTATGTGTGAATGGCTTGTTAAACAAATCATGTTGAATAAGACATAGTGTCCTTTAAAACTTTGGTTGTTGTTGTTGTTGTACTTTTGCTTCCATATTGAATGTGTATATTTAGAAGGCTGCTTTGGAGAGCATATAGATGATACATTTATTTGACACAGCAGCTACAAAACAATATTACTATAAGAAAAAAATGTTATTAGCAAACATGTCAATTCAATTGTTAGTGGCTCATCCCCAAAAGAACTACATTTGAACTTTTATATAACACAAATGAGAATTATTATTTTGTTCAAGGGTGAAAAGTTTACCTGTAAAGTCCAGCTCTATTGAGAAGGTAAACAATTTTTATTTAACATTATTCATAAATAAAAATATTACAATGTAGCATAATGGTAACGCTTCCCCCTGATTTTGTTGAGCACCAAATCCTATTAATACTAGCTGAAATGACTAGGAATATAAAGGTTGCAGTTCAACATCTAAGGGCCACCCATTATTCGTGCTTATTGTAGGATGATATCCAAAATTCTATTAACAAAGAATACGATGGGATATCCAAATCATGACAGAAAGTTTATATTTCTCTTTAAATTCTTGGAGAAGTAGCTTCATACTACTGATGTAATGATTTTCCACATCTCAACAATTACTGAAAAAATAGATGTTCATATTCTTCAACATCAATATGTACTAATTATGGAGTAAGAGAGGACATTTAAAAAAATAAATCACCTGTGGGAGCATTGCCATCAGGCCATAGGCTACTGGATAATACACTGGTGCTTTGTGATGTCACTGCTACCATAGAAACGATATGCCCACACTGGGTATATACTAGATATGATCAGAAGAGCTCAGAAAGCTGAGAGAGGAGACAACATCTTGAGTCTGGCAGGGTCATCAGAAGAGCTCAGCTTCAAAACAGCAAAATGTTTAACCATAATAATGGAAAGGAGAAGAGAAATCGACAAGCAGAGCCTCATCCTTGTGGAAGTAAAGGTTTAGAACAACTCATTTCAATGGATGAATGTGCCAAACATATCATTGACAGTGCATTAATGAAGATTCAGAAGCAGCTAATTGAAAAATCAAAGCAAAGTGGACTTTGTAATTCAAATGATCCTTCACTTGACTACAAACTGCAGGATTCCAATTTTGAGAGGACAGAGGCGACCACAGGTTTCACTATCCCTAACTTTATCCCGTCAAAACGAGGAGGGGGGTGGCAGCAACCTCAGTACCAAGAATCAAGAAAGGAAGATATTTCAAGCATCCTCACATCAACCATCCAGAAGGTCATGCGTGAAGCTGTTTCTAATGTAGACAACAATAGCCACAACATGAGTAGAGGTCACCGGCAGGCTCCTCCTCTTGAAAGCAAGCTTCAGAGGATAAAGGCTGCTTCAAAACCAGCCAGTGGTCCATTGGATATGTATGGCAACATGGACCACCCTATGAATATGCTAGATATTGACCAGCTGGTGAAATCTATGACTAAATTGTGTCTTTTAGAGTCTGGAGGCAATGGCTCAAATTTAGGCAGTGGGGACACATCACATAAACAGTATAATGGCTCATCTCAACATTTGGGAGGGCCAAGAAGAGCTTCAGTAGTCAGATCTAATATGAGACAAGGTGGTACAAATGCAGTTATAGTAACTAATCAGAATGGTGAAAGTGCTTCTTTGAACAAAGAACTCCAGGCTATCCTCCAGTGGATGGTGGCTTCTCATTTCAATGTGCCCAACCTGACATTCTTAAATGACAGAGAAGGAGAACTGGCTGACCTTCCACAACTAGCCCAGAAAGCAACCAAGAAGGGCTACAGTGTGGGAGAAATTCTTCAGAAAGTAATGAGGTACCTTGAAAGAACACAGATGGAGGAAGCAGTGGGGAAAAGGCCTCAGTGTGGATTGATCCGCTGGCTACACGCCAACTTGTAAAAGCCAACTCTTCCCTCTCACACTGCTGCAGCACAATACAGGCACTTTCAACGACATTTTCCTAGTGTATCTGATACCACAGCATGGCTGCAAGCAACAATGCACTGACTTCAATTGTTCAGTCACATGGAAGCTCAGCAAGATCGCCAATAAAAAAACATTTTTTTAAAGTGTGAATTGAGGAGAGAGTGTCTTATTTTATTCATTAGCCCAACATAATTAAGAAATAAGAACCTGGCAAGATACACTTGGGAAGTTGTGTATGCTATTTTGAGTTGTCACTTTGATTTCCCTGTTCATACTCTAATACTGCAGAAGCCATTAGCTTCCTGTTTACTTTCTGTAGCATGTAAGTGCAATACAGCAAATATAGCACATACCTGAAATCATTTGGTGGATTTGTGCTAAGAAAAGCTATAGTACAGACATCAAGGGGCATCTGTAGGAGGGTAAAAAAGTCAAGTTAATTGTTGTAGGCCGCCCAGAATCACCTTGTGTGAGATGGGCGGCTATATAAATATGATAAATAAGATGGCAGCCACATCTGTGAATGAAGTCCCACCTTTTTTATGGGCATCGCACATGTGGGCCACATAAAAAAGAGGTGGAGTTTTGATTGTCCACTCGCAGATGCCATCTTGACTTTTTTTGATCCCCTCTGCAGAAGCCCCTGCAGGCATCTTTGGATCTTTGTCCTTTTTAGTTAAAAAAAAAGGCTTTCAGTTAAAGCCTAGTATCAAAATACAAAATATATTTATGATTTTTAAAGTTCTAAATACTTTATGAGGAGACTGTTTCTCCCGAATATTCTCTATTAAATATTATAACACTGATGAAAACAAAACCAGAGGTCTCTTTTCAAAGTTTCAATCTTTTTTAGTAAGCCAACAGAAGTGCAGGTCATACAGTTCATTCCAAACTGAATCATATCTATCCAAATAGGGAACCAAGATTACATGTAAAGGACATGCACAGATCGGATGCCCAAGAGTTTGGTTGGACTTCCCTCACCCTCACCCTATTCATATATGAAGAAGCTCTGAAGAAATGAAATGATAGGCTCATTCTAAAGGTTAGAGAAGCTAGATGTCTGAGTCACTGGCATCTTTTGAAATTAAGAATGCATTTGTTAAAAATGCCCTCATAACCTATTTACAGTCATCAAACACTCTAAGAGAATGGCATGGACAGACAAAAGAATACTCACACAAGTTCCAAAAGTTCCTGATTGTGAGATTTAAATTAGTATGCACAGATGGAACCTGGCCTTGTGTATGAAAGAGAGACCATATCTGGAATATCACCCTCAGGAAGGTTGGAGAATGAGTCTACAGCAGTGATGGTGAACCTTTTGGGCTTGGCGTATCAAAAATTCAGAAAATGCCTAACTTGACTCTGCTGGTGTGTCCACCCCCACCAAACAAAAGAGAAACAATTCTTTACATATTCATTTATTTTAAAAAAATACAGTCCAATCATGTGGTGCTATGTATTATATAAAGAAACATCAAATAGTTACAAAAACTAGTAAAACAAGCTCAGTTTCTTTGGTAACTCAAACAGGGAGAATAGATATTGGGGGGGGGGGTGAATGCTGGTGTGTCATCCAAAACATGGCGTATCACCTTTGACATGCGTGTCATGGGTTTGCCATCACTAGTCTACAGTATGTAGATGGGCAGTGATATTTCCCAAAACTGTTCTGGAATCGTAGATAGCTTTCCCCCTCATGTGCTTTGTCATCCTAACATCACAAATTATAAGTAAACACATTTTACATTAAATAAATGAAACTGAACCCCTGTCCCTTTTTCAAAAATAGCAATGTAAAGCCACTTTGAGATTGGAATACAGACAAAGTAAGAAGCAAAAAGTGCTTAACATTTCCCCATCCATCCTTTCTCCATTCTTACTTGCTCTGAAGAAGGATAAACGTGCTTTTTGTCCTTTCTATTTCTCTGTTTTTCTGCATTCTTCCCCCACTTGCCATACTTCGTCTATAGTTTTGTTTTCCCCTTCCCAAAGCCGTGTTTTAAAAATAGCATCAAAATAGTTTTAGCTCAGGTACAGAAATTTGCTTGTGACATATAATTATTTCCTCAATTGGATACAAAGGAAGCAACAGATTTTTCCCTTTTAATGGAGGGGAACAGCCAAAGGAATTCAGGAGAATTCTCTGGAGGGCTGCCATCTGCCTTTCACAGCATCAGTGATCTGGGGATGATTTCCCCATAGTGCCTGAACTAAGCTGGCCTTGGCCTTGTGTAATTGGTGGTAAAGATAGGGTCCTCCTCAACTATTCAGAGGGATCTTCAATTTTACTCATACTTTAGATCAGTGTTTCTCCACCTTGGCAATTTGAAAATGTATGGACTTCAGCTCCCAGAATTCTCTAGCCAGCATGTTATACATCAAGCTATACATCAGTGGAAAAAAATTAGAACAAGTAGATTAATTGGTATGCTTTAATATAGCATCCTAGCTGGGGAATTTAGGAGTCAAAGTCCACACATCTTAAAGTTGCCAAGATTGAGAAACACTGCCTTAACAGAATGTTTACCAAAGATGGGAAAATGGATGAAGGGATTTTAGAATATGAAAATGTTCTGTGAAGGGTAAATTGGGCAAAGTCAGAAGCACAGGGCCTGAGAGCAGACTGATCCATTGCAGAAACAGCAGTGTCAATCTTTCTCCCACCCAAGAACAAATGGCCCTCAGCCTATCATGACAAATGGGCAGGATAAAGAAATGTCAGATTTGAACTTTGGTCCTGTATATATAATGCCTGAATCTCAGAGTCTGCAGTTGTTGTGTTTCTTTCTCCCATGAAATCAGATTTCATTTGGCCCTAAATTTAAATATGTTTGTAGCTAAGAATCCAATATTAATTTGAATATTTTATTAATTGATTTTAATGGTTTTAATAGTGCTTTAGGAATTGTCTTGAGGAGAAGAGAAGGAGACGGAATGTTTAGTCAGTTGGTACGCAACTGCCTGTGTTGCAGAATCATAGAGTTGGAAGGTCAAGGCCAAGCTCCATCAAATTCAAGTGCCTTGGACAGATATGTGACCATATCTGGAGTGGAGCCCATGCCTATCACCCCTCTGGATAATTGGTTCCACTGTCAAATGGCTTTCACTGTTAAGGAAGGTTTTCCCCCCATTTGGAATCTACATTCCTGTCATGTAAATACATTATTTCATGTCCTGTACTTTGAAACTGTTAATTGGATGGAGGTGAATTCAGGACACAGTGTCCTTGATATCCCTTCCAAGGCACGTCTACATAATGGTAAGGCTTCAAAATACCAAGTGTTTCTTGGATTATAGTGCAAATAACACATCTCCAGCAGTATCTCGCTATTCCTTATGGCTGTCATAGTAATCAACATTCTGTGTTTTTCGGGAGCAATCAAAACAGGAAATATTTGCATTTGATATTGTTTGCATCCTTCCAAGGAAATAAATAACTTTCTTCAGCTCTACTGGATCTACTCCCCTACTGTTGCTCATATATTTCCAAGCATTTCTGAGCACCACAATGAAAGTTCTCCAAAGATCAAACATTTTCTGCACTTTATTTATATAGGTGTGTAATATACTTTATATGTAGGATATATCAGTTTTTAATATAAATATAAAAATATTCTCACAGGCAATGAATATTCTAAGAAAATACAAGGAGCTATGCAAGGTGCTGAGATCTGAATTCTGCCAAAGATCAGTTTGTATATCTTGGTGATGTCGGTAGTATATTATTTTATTATTGTTACTGGTTGATTAAGCATGCCTGTGATCTAGTACTATTGCTCCATTATCTTGGGCTGTTTTATACATTATACTCCCTGCAGACTCACTGGAGTTAGTTCTAGAAGTTTCAGTAAAAGAAAAAGCAACCCCCCCGCCCCCGACTCTAGTGTCTGTTTAATAATTAGAAATGACACAACAACGGTGATAAAAATGGGATTTTTTTTTAAAGTTCTCACTGTATCTCTGGAGGAGGAGAAAAGGAAGGAAGGAAGGAAGGAAGGAAGGAAGGAAGGAAGGAAGGAAGGAAGGAAGGAAGGAAGAATAATGCTGAAGTTGTCACAATGCGTAAAGGGTTAGGGTTGGGGGAAAATGAGCATCACAGGATGGCTGAGTTTATTGGGAAAATGAATGTGTTTATTAGTCCGTCAGATGTCTGGACATAATACAGAGGAGACTTGAACTATTTTTTGAGGCAAATAAAAGAGCTGGTGAAAAATGGTTTCTGTTTTTATTGAGTCTTATGGGGGATAAAGGGGACGCGGTGGCGCAGCGGCTTAATGACGCTGAAAGTTGCTGGCCAGAAATGGT